ACAATCTGTTCGAACGTGGACATAATCGTACGGCTAAAATGAGCCATTACCTAGTCTAATGATTTTTACAAAATATGGTTACTATCAGCACTTAATTACAAATTCTTGTTTATTTCATCATCAGAAAGGAAAAGAGGGAATATTTATGAAAAAATGAGAAAATAAGCGATAAAATTGCCGAGAAAAAAACAGGTGAAGTTGATGTAAACTAACTAGTTTCTGTAGTTTAAATACGAGTTTTCTTCCTAAGCAGATATTTCGCAATACAACTTTGAATCACCAATGATGACTTCATTTTTGAGTGTTCTTTATACAAGAATAAAAAAACAGTTAAAATACTAAGTACCAACACATCTAATGATGAATTGTTGACTGTTAAGTGATTGGAGATAATAAACATAAAGCATTGAAATTAATGCGCAAAATGCATTTAAAGCTTCTAAGAAGTTGATGTTCCGTATAGGATTCACACCAATGTCACTAGTTTTAGCCGTAAACGATACCACGTAGAATAAAAAGAAGTGATTAGATTGGATTAGTTGTTATATTCCAACCAAATAAACAAAATGTAACAGGGACTGAAAAGTAGATATATAAGTGGTTGGTCACAACTTCAAGATCAATTGGTATAGGTTGTTGACTAAAGCGACGAAACTGTTTTATTTGAGGCCAGATGAATAGAGGGAGGAACAAAGTTTAGTGACAGGGTAATGAAACCTCACTAAGACATTTTCGTTTATCATTTGATTTCATTCACATAATAACACAAACGTTCCGTAGATCAATAAAGAGCGGTCTAAAAATGTACCAGTAACAGAATAGTAGTCAATGTATCTACAACTAAGGAAAAAAATAATTATTTAAACACCAATTATTTGGCTTATTTAATGTGTTAAGTAAACGCTCTGCACACTTGACTTTATATTTCCCATACGATAGGTGAATATATATTGCTACATAATGAGTTATTTATTAAGATTGACTAATACAGAGTTAACTTGGATCGTTTTTCGACCGAAAATTTGGAACAAGTAACTGGATCGGTTATCTTGAAGAGTGAATTGACCTTGCATCAATCAGAATATAAAATACAAAAGCATCTGAATCTATTATTTCTCACCAAGACTACATGACATACTCAACATTCCACCGTGTTCATGATATTGCTCATTTTACATTTCATCAGGTTTGTTAGTTATTCTTTATTTATCGTTTGTGAATGATGAATAGTTACTTTCTGATCGATGTTCCTAGTGTGAGAATTCAATCTTTTATTTTCAAACGAAGTTTTATATTTTTTCTTCAACGTCATCATAGAAATAAGAAATAGACTTAACCGAGGATTTGAAGTGCAGCAAAACAAATGTGTGCTAGTGTGGTGTGTATTACTGATGCCGACAGATATAAGTAGCATGTATCATCAATCGAAAGTAAAATGCCTGGAGGCAGAAGGTTAAGAAGATCAAAGAAAAGAGAACAAGAACAAGGAATGATTGATGTGGAAACAAAAAATGGAGTCTGAGACGATTGACTGATATTTGCAAAAGGAACAGTCAAATTTGAGACAATTGATTGACATTTTGCAAATTAAGTATTTACTGTATAGTTCTCGGATTTTACTAAAACATTCTGTAATTTGTGTTCAAACCACTCGACTGTCCCCGCTTGTATTCCCGTTCACCACACGTGATATAGCCTATTCATACTGAAAAATGTGAAAAGAAATCAAACCTAACCAAAACCAATGCGAAATGTCAAAAATGTGTGATAAGAGGGGAAAATGGTAAACAGTTTCATAAAATCGAAAAGTTACAAATGTTTAAGTTATCGCTATGTTTATAACTTTTAATTACTTTGTGTGAGGGCTTCGTTAAAGGCTAAAGACGGTTTTGTTTGAAGGTGGTACAAATGTATTATATCCCATCAAGTGTTGAAAACACCTTTTTATATTTTTCACTAAATTAATTTATACGGTTTGTAGTACGATAATTCAGGTTTTTATCCCCCATTTGTTGTATACGAACAGATTACTTAACAGAAATGATAACTTGAACGATCAGTTTGAGTCTTAGAGTGGGAAAATATAAACAAATATAAGACGTTTCCTCTGGAATAATAACCAGTATTTTTTAGAATCGTAAACAGTTATCTATAGTCGGATTACTAACGAGACAACAACTAAGTACATTTATTTGATAAGTTACATATGTTACGACCAATACTAAAAAAAGTTAACAATTTTGTCTATAAAGCAATACTGCCTTTTGAAAATACTATCTATTTTCTATAATTTCAGATATTCGCTTAAACGAACCGTATTTTGTTGAACTATATTACTATTCAGTAACTTACGTGACATGTCATTCCTTGTATGTATGAGCAATGTATAAGGATGATCATGTATCATTATTTAGGAATTGAATGATCGTTGATCAGTGTATCCACCTTTTTTTTAACTATATATCATGTTTATTCATTATATCTTTAAAATTACGTATCATATTTAGAGTCAGTTACTGAACAAATAGTGAAAGAAAATTCATAACAGGATACGATATTTAGAAATACTTTGTGATGCAAGTTACCATGAAAACACCTAAACAATGTGAGCATGTAATTACTAGACTATTGCTCGATTTATCACTTTCAAAACACGGGAAGAAAGAAATGAAAGAATGGTGTATGATCGAATATTATTTATAAATTAAGATTTTAAATAGAAGAGCATCAAAAGCCATCTAAAACTAAGAAAGGCGATAGGGTTGTTGGAGGTTAGTTTAACATTCGTAAGTAATGTGGACACTTATTGGGTGTCCAAACTTTGTTATTGCATCTATCAATGAATAAAGCACCAAGTTAGAATCCGAACAGTTTACTTTCTTTCCCAGTTTAAATGATCTTGTTATTATGTCATCCTGTAGATACTCATGTTAATAATGAGTTACTAGTTAAGTCAGCTAATTAGATTACGTTAAAAGTATTTCACAGAAAAAAATTATCAATAAGAATTAGACCATTAAGTAATTTGTTGATCTGTAAGAGCTGTTTATTTAAATTTACTTTGCACACACGGATAAATAGTACTCGTAATCTTATCATTTCAATAAGTTAGAACTCCTTATTAGGATGTTAGAACAAGATTAATAGAAAAAAGTACTTCCTTTCAGTTAGTTTTCTATTTTGGCTTTGTGGATTTATATTAACAATAATGATAAAGTCGATAACAATGAAGTGGGAATATGTTAGATAACTATAATACATGTCGAACTTATGAAAATAATAGCGAATGATTAACAAAGTAATTAAAATATGAATGTGAATGTTGTAATTTAATTCGTCAAAAATATTAATAAACGAATGAATTAGAACACTTAGTTACATAATAATGCAGAGATAGAATTGATGATGGTTTAGTGAGATATCCAAAAAACGAATTGAAATTGAGTATTTGTTTGCTTTGTTCATTCTTTCGTTTTAGATGGTTATTCAATTTTTTTTTCTAGTATTTTCCATAAAAAAGAACTTAAATCTTTTCCTACAAGAATAAGCTTGCTTAAACTATCACTTTTAATAAAAATTATTTGTAATTAATGTGAGTGAATGAATGCAAAGATGTAATTGCAGTTGACATATAGTATATCAGTAAATAAGAAAACAAATTAATCATACAGAATTTCATCATATATATATATTCTTTTGTTTTAAAGTAACACATTGTATGCTTGTATATTTTCTCTATTTTTGTATATCAAGAAAAATAGGATATTGGACAGGTTTTATCAATAGATTAGGAAATTTTTATTAACTTGAATCATTGATTTGTGAACTAAACCTTAACATACTAAGAATAAGATGTTTTTTAGATATCTCAGAATTACCAATCAGATCAGGACACTATAAAAATTCTTTCTCAAGGATTTGATATATATAACTTAGCAGTAATGAGTGCTAACAAGTAGAATATCCTAATGAAAACCCTTCAGTCCATCTTCATTTCTTTGTTTTTAAATTGTGATTTTAAGTGAAGGGTTTAACTGATTTATACTGAAAAATAATCTTCTGAAGACATTTTTAGGGTAAGTTTAATGAATATCCGTAACGTATATGATAGAAACGAGAAGTAAATGGACGAAACAAAGACAAAACTTTGAATGGAAACATCTCAGAAAAGTTAATATTCTAGAAATATAGACCTAAAGGTGGAAACAGAAGTGAGATGTGAAAATGCTCGTGAAGAGTTCAGTAAAGAATACTTATCGAAACTAAATTGTACACTTAACCTTATAATTATCGAATTCTATCTGATAGAGGTGAAGACAGACCATTGATACGTATGTAGATCTGCTAAAGTGGGTGAAAAAGTTTTCAGCACAATCCTTTATGGATGGGTAGATAAAATGAAGGGATAATGAAGGAGCCTATAATAGACAATTGAGATTGAGTTTACGCAAATAGGACGTACAAAATGATTTATTGTACGGTGATTTACATATACGTCTACTGCATACAAAGGTCATCATATAAATCTCGCTTAACGAATCGAATATTTTCATTCAGAGTATTTTAATTTTCTTCGTCACTGATGTAATTCAACCCTCCGTTTAACATTTTATCTAAAAAGTCAATGTGATTTGTAATTGATCTTATCTTGCCAATATGAATTTTCTATTTATTTATACAACCTGTTCCTATGATAAATTTGCACAAAAGTCTTTTATTAATCAAAATTTACTTGTTATGTAACTACTATTAGTATTCATCTATTTAAACAAATGGCTTAATAAGCAATTTGTTACGAAACAAACGGTTTCTAAATTGCTTCAAGGAACAAAACCTTCAAATTGTTACTAGAACAGATACATCGAATTCCATAAAATCAACTATAAATTGAATAACTAATAACATATAAAGGTTATTTATTACACTGACATTTGTAAAGTAATATAGTGGTAATAATAGGGTGGAAAGTTTAATACTAAAAAATACTGTTTCATACATACCAATGGTAGAATCGAAATCTTGGACGCCAACTGGGCTCTTTCAAGAATCCATTAAGCATTGAAGCCAAATTTACAAAACCATAACACATCAAGAAGAACCTGAAGAAAAGAAAAGTAGACGTAAAACAACGGATTGTCAAGATCACAATAATAATAATTTCTATTGACTATTAAATTAATCGCAAAAACAAACAGATTCAGATAGATAAATTTTATTAGTTGACTGAGAAATTTGAACAATGTTCGGCCAAATGTATGTACAATCTTGAGCGGTCATTAATTATATGTTTATGTAAACAAATTATTGAATATTGGATAACAAAAAGCAGCTATATGTATATATAATCAGGGAAATAAAGAATATTACGCGGGTGCAAAGGAAGTTAATGGTAAATTTATTCGAAACAGTTAGTCACTTTGATAAATTTAGACAATTAAATGAAACGACGAAGTTTATCGAAACTATGTGACGTATTAGCACAATATTCTTTGAACAATTAGATAACAGATTTATTTATAACAGGATTTATATATGATATGATAAATGTCAATTAGACAAATTCAAGAATAAGGAAAGCGGATATTAGAAGAAAAAAGAACAATACAATCTTGGATACTAAATTGACAATATATGGATGGGTTTAGATCAAATACGAATAGCTTTTGGATAGAAAAACGAAAGATTTTAAATTTCGTTTGGTCACGACTTCAACAAACCAAAATATTGTGTGCAAAGCCACAAGGTCTAATTTAGGGTTAATTTTATGAAGTTCACATATTTGAGCCCCGTTTGTGTCTTCAAAAACAATTTGTACTTACAGTAAACTTAATTTGGTAGTATTGATTTGTTGTACAGAGTGATACGATTCATATTGTTTGTTGACTATTATCATCATTTTTCTTATATTCCAATATGTGTACGTTGACATTAATTTTCCATAATTGACTTTCATGATAAGTAAAAGGGTAGTTAAGTTGTTTGAAACGTACTATATTAATATATAACATGGTTTTGAAAAACTTCTAATTCTGCTTGCGTTAATCTACATTAGTTTGAAGTTGGGAGTTAACCGAGTGCAAACATGCATTGGAAAAACTGAAGATTGTGACCATAACATGAGAATACACTTTTTATGTGTACAGTTTTTAACTGTAGATAACCATTGTCTACGTGTTCATAAAGATGAGAGTACAAAATGTGTGGCTGCTAGGAAACGATTGTTGAATTCAAAGTTTACCATCCGCAATGATTTACTTGAATATGAACAGCGGTAACATGTTCAATAGGTCTATTTTGTATAAATATACAGATAAATCTTGGGAATGCTATTGGTGAGTGTCCTATAGACCTTTTGAGTATCCAACGAAAATACAATAAATTGTGAGACCAAATATAACGAATAAAAACTGAGGGTTAAGTCAAAAATAAAGTTTACTTTACAAGTGATTAAGTTAATTATGACTCAAACGATTGAATGTTCTAGAAAACTGTTATTTGAATTACTAAAGGCATTATTGTTTGCACTAATTAAGTATAAATGAAACGTTATTCACTAAAGACTGTTTTATCTTTTTATGAGAATAAAAGGTATTGAATTATTTGTAGCTTATCACAACTATCTGGCGCACACAAATAACTTATACATTGTATCTTGTTGAATCATTCAGTATAGGAGTTAACCTTTAACATCTAACTTTAAAGTATTTTCATATTTCAAGTAAATAAATAGATAAGTAATTTAATAATGCCTAACGTTAATAATACCAAGAGACTGGTAAAGACGTAATGCATTTAAAACTTAATAATGTCAATGAAAAGAGGTTGAGAGTGATATATAAAAATTACACTGTGATACAATAGACGTAATTGGAGGTATTGGCTTTGTACATCACTAATCTCATTAAATATAACATGAACACAACCAAGCACTAGAAAACTGTAAAATCAACGAACATGCAAGAAAACCACTTCATGAAGATATATTTAATTTGAAATGAATATAAACTAGAGAACTGTCAAAAACCAAGTGCAAATAGACATTTATTTCATTCTGAGTGAGGAATATTTTGCAACGTACAACTCCATCTATGAATAAGATAATCTAAACATGATAGTAAGTTTCAACCGAGTGAAAAAAACAACCAAAAATGATTATAAACACACGCAAACACATACACATGCCATTATCAGCTAAAGAGATTTGTTTACTCAGTGGACTACATTGTTAGAAAAATAAACGTAATTTGATTTGACAGTAATGTTCGAAATAATAATAAAAGACGTTTAAAATACATGATCAATGTTATTATAGCAAATTAATTTAATGATTGTTTTTTTAATTAAAAAAAACTAGTTAGTGGATGAATAAGAAGAATCATAACAACAGATTAGTTTTATTACAAATGGTAAGCACAAGGTGTATTAAATCGGTTTAGATAAGTAAGAAATTCAATATTATTTTTAAGGAAAATGAAAAGTCTAATTGTTGAAATCGCTGATCGTTAGGGAATATAAAAAATGATCCTCAAATGTAGACAAGAAAAACAAAATCATCAATAATGTACGCTTTTTGAGACGGTTTTATCAATAAAGAGGTTTTTGGAGATTATTGAGTGTTATTGATATCACTAACCGGGCTGAGTTGGGCATCGAACACTGAAGAATAGAATACATGTACGAAACAACGATCCAATGTTTTGTAGTTTTCAATGGATGTCTAACTCAAGTCAGTTTTTAAAACCAATCACATTCTGTTGTACAATTAGAGCCTTATGTAACAAGAAGTAAGTGATAAACTAGTTTGAAGAAACGTTACACATTATGCTAACTAGATAGTAATAAAGACAAATTTTGTAATGTCAACGTAAGTAGCATGATTTTAAAAAGATGAAGTATTTCATACACAATCTACTGATAATAATCCACACAAATTATGACAACGATTAGTACAGACCAATATTAACGATAAAGACTGAGCGAATGAACTTCACATCCCGTGACGAGAATGGTATCTCAAGGAAACCATAACGAATGGTTAGAAAGTGTTTGAAAAATTGTAAACTTACTGTTAGAAAACAGTTTTAAGTGATAATTTATTTTATGAAGTGTTAACCACATGAAAGTAAATTTAGTATTACGAAAAAACAGAAAAAATGGGTTCAGTATTTTGTTATGTAGTCATCTCTCTTCAAATCAAACGAATGGCTATGATACAGTAGATTTAAAGACTGACATCACATTTCAGTATCAATCAGTTTGTCAACATGAGGTGTTTGTAAATGAATAATCTTATAATGATCGGAAACATGAAATTTCCTAGAAAATATCGTTATAACTAGGACCTATGAATCGTTCATCAGCTCGGTCAAAATGTGATTTTCTGAAAACATTGTTATAATTACATAGTATGAATTGTTTATCAAAAACTATATTATTTAAAAGCCTTAAACAACAAATAGACTAATTAATTCAATGCTTTAACTTTTTTCATTGCCTATATGCAAATAAGCTTACTTGTTATTGTCTAACAAGTCCTGTATCTATCTGTCTGCCTGTTTCATCTCTTTGTTGATCTTGTTTATTTATATATACGTATGATGTAAACAATTCGATTCTCAGCATTTCACATTTAGACAATCAGAAAGATATGATTAAAATGGAGAATCTTTTTTTTCTGAACATGTTTTTCGTCACAGGACTTTATTATGCGATTAAAAATAATAACAAAATCGGTGCCAATCAAGTGATAGGGTCGTATCTGGCAGAAACAAAACCGGTGAGTATTTCTCAAATATTCGGTTGTTACTGCATAAAGATTAGACGAAATTGAACTTTCAAAACCAGAATGTGATTTGTAAAATATTTAGTCAAAGCTACTCAAATCTACGAGAACGATGAATATACCAAATTAAAACAACAGCTGAATACTAACAAAAATATCTACGTAAAAAAAGTATATATCCTTATTTCATAATTTTATTGGGATTTTTAAACTGAATTATGCTTTGAATCTAGTTTAATTTTAATGTAAAGCATATTCATAGTATTTTAACTTAGAAATTAAATTTTTTCTTGAAAGTAGGCAAGTATGGACTTAACCATAGGATTTTGTATTTGTTGTAGTTGACAATTCACAGACAATATGTGTCAATAAGTTCCAATACTATTTTTAAATGGCAGAAAATTTAGTTGCATAATCGATAACTAGAATATTATTTTTCCCAATCTAAAAATTATACAGTTTAGAATTAGTATTTGCCTGACACCATGAGATTATAAACCGGGTATATATATATATATATATATATATATATATATTTACACATGTGTTCACACATCACAAAAATAAGGAGTTTGTAACCGACAATAGTTATACAGAAGACAGGAGTGAAGAGAGAACAAGAACAAATGTATGTGAATAAAATCACTTTCTTCAGTGATTATTGGTTAAGAAGTAAGACAATAAAATTGATAGAACTAATGTCAGAATGTAAGTTGCATATAAATTATATATATTTAAAATATAAATATTATGTGTTAAATTGATGCTTGGAATATACTTAGCTTAGCCAAGCAAACCGACTAGAACTTTTTGAGGGAAATAATCAAAATTAGAATTATCATATCAATATAATCAAGAACAAGACAACACTTCTAAGCTTTTGTTGAAAAATAAAACAGAAGAATAGTAAATAAGTTGTATTGGTTGACAAATGAATATACGTACTGCAAAGGGATTCCGGAAATGTATAGGAATTTGAAAAAAGTAAAAGGAGCATAATGTTAATTATTTGTGGTACGAAATCCATCTTAGTTTAGCTAGAAGGCTTATCTCATTCGCTGACTATATATATATATTCGAAAATAGATGTTGACTTAGATCATGACCATATATCATGATCGTATGTAAGAACCTACTTTAAGTCATGTCGAAGCTGTGCACCAGTAACCACATGTTTTGTTTTTAGTACCGTTACGATTTGATTTATTTCCATATTTGGATCTAGCAAACACATGAATTAGGGACAAATAATTGTCAGCACTATGAAACTCTGTCTCCGTAGCGTAGAATAAAAGAAAACAGCATCTATGTCATCCA